CACTATTGCACTCAATATAGTCCACTTGTTCAGACCCCAGTTTGATTTATGGAGAACTAGACAAGTGGAGAAAGGAAGTAGAGGCACTGATACTCTGAATAAAATGATTGCCTCTGTGGCTTTAGCAGCTCAAGAGAAATGCCTTTGTGCACACATGGAGCAATGTGATGCCACTATTGCTTTGGGATTCAAGAAACAAAATGTCGTATTGAGGAGAGAGAAAAGAAAAATACTGCACTGTAAAAAAAAAAGAAAAAAAAAGGAAGACATTGTGTCACCAGAATATTTCAGTAAAAAATATGGTTGCACAGTACAAAAATAAATCTGTAATCCCTCAAGGAGAAGCAGTACTTAATATGTATTAACATGTAAAATGTGTTAATCCGCCAAGTTCTGTCGATAGTCGCTCAGACACATTTTAAGCAAAAATAGTTTTGCCGTCCTTTACTTTAGTGTGGGCATGGTTCACATCAACCCCCATGAGCCTTTGCGCTTGCAGCGTCAAATTTGCTGCATTAATCAAAACAAAATCATCCACACTGGCAACAGACGGCATTGTAAATCTGCATAGTTGTAGCAGATTGCAATGCTGAATGTAGCTTTGTTGTTGACATTCTGTGGCTGCACTTGTTTGTTAACTAAAGCTGTGTTGTTTTTTTAAAGGAACTTTATTAAATTTACATTTATTTGTGTTTCACGTGTAATATCATGCAACACTTTAATTAAACTCATTAGATCAAATGAATTATAGGCCTTAGTTTTTTTTTCACCAACTATGATCGAGAAAGCTATGCCAAAGAATGAATATTTATCCTACTTCAGATTATTTACATATTTGTCTAAATATGGGTCATTGCTGTTTCTGGAGTGTTCTAGCTCAATTGAAGCAATGGGGAGAAGGTCTCATGGCGGGATCAAAACCATGACCTTCAGGCCTAAGGTCCAACACTCTACCAACTGAGCTACTTGCAGACACATAGTTTATAATTCTGGCTTGTTTCTAATAAGACGGAGACACACTGATCACGCATTTACAGTATCAGTGTTTCTCCTCAGGTTTCAGGAAAATGCAGCATATGTAGTGTGGCGAGGGTCGTTAGACGCCGCTTGCGGCTTTGATATGTATTTAATATTATGAATGAAGTCTTGGGTTCCTCAGGGTTTTAAAACTTTAATATGAGTCTCACGAGTCCAACAGTATTGTCATTAAATTTGATCTTAATCAAATATTATTAAGGTAATTTCAACAAAAACTTTTGTTTCCCTTATTACAATAATTATGTTGGGATTTTAACATTAGATTAATGTTTTCATTCTAACATTAATATTATGTGAAGGGCGACAGTAGCTCAGTTGGTAGAGCATTGGCCTTAAGGCCTGAAGGTCGTGGGTTCAATTCCCACCTCTACACCTTCTCCACCGACTCCCACTGATGACTCCTGTTGTTGTGTCCTTGGGCAAGACACTTAACCCCACTTTGCCCAAAGCCCCCGCTGAAAGATCAAGGCTATGCTCACACTCAGAGAGCAGCCGTCCTCCTGTGGACTCACCACCTGCAGAGGGTTAGTGAGGGGCTGGTGCTATGAGACTTGGGTGGCATCTCTGACTGCCACCCCCCTGACCCAGAAATGGATTAAAGGGTAGTGGATGGATGGATGGATTAATATGTTGCGATTTAACAATATTAACATTAATATTCTTCTGTTATTTGACAGTCTTTTTTTTAAAGAGTGGCCCAGATTGAACATATAGGAGCTTTAAATATAGATAAACTACTGCTGTAGCCTCAGCTGCCAAGGGCTAGACTGACAGCGAGGCAACCAATCCATGCAATCAGCCACCGATCATTCACCAGACTCATACAAGGCAATGTGGATGAAGTGTCTTGCCTAAGGACCCAACAGCCCCACAGTAGCACCTCATGTTCTCAGAGGTCTCCCGTCACAGTACTAACTAAAGTGATGTGTTGAAACAAATAGGAATTGTGAAAAAGGATCAATGCTCATCATGTAAATAAAACTAAACTGGAGAGTAGTGCCGATGTTAAAATTCATTTAGATGTAAAATGTGCTGCTTTTGTCTCTGGTGCCACCACTGTCCTCGCTGAAACCCCACATCGACTTTCCGAGAGGACAGACTCTTATAAAACAAATGTCTTTTAATGAACACAAAGCCGTGAGATTCTATGCAGAGGTATAATCAGTATATAATGGCACGTAATAGCCCCCTGCAGCAGAAGGCTATAGATATAACTATCAAATGCACACAGATCTAGCCTTGTGCTCCAAACGACTGCTATAGGCGCCTTTCTTTTCTTTAAACCCCTACGCATTTATATGTTTTGATAAAGGAATATTTCTTTATACAAAAGTAGTACCAGATTTTGGCATTCTATACCAAAGTTTTCTGAACCTTGAATACCTTTTTGAATCCACAGAAATGTCAGCAGTGAAAATTCTTTCGACTAACTGTACAAAAAAACGCAATGAATTTTAATGGTTACTAATGAATTTTAGAGGTTCTATCAAATCTGTCTCAGGCTTTTACTTTCCATTAATCCTGATTTTAAAACAAAAAAAAACATTCGACTCGTTCTTCGCTCTCAAAACAATTTGGTTCCCGATTCTAATTTCAAGAGTTTAAAGACACTGTAAACGTCTATTAGCTATGCAGTAATTTGTGATCATGGATTATTTTATTCTAATCCAAAACTAAAACACAATTGTGAAGAGAAGTGATACAACGCTGAGTATACCCCATGAACCTTTGAGAGAGGACGGCCATGTGCTTTGGAAACAGCTGAGTTTCTTTTCACTAAAAATGACACACATGATCTTTTTTTTTTTTTTTTATGAATGCTCATAAAATTACCGTAAATTCTGCGTAATGTAGCTGGTAATCTGTGGCTGAGTGAATAGCACTCTCGGTTCTCAGCAAGGAGGCTGGGTTTTTATCCCGGTCGGAACAGGGCCTCTCTGAGTGTCTGCGTCTCCGGGTGCTCCGGTTTCCCCTACCACTAATAACATGTACAATAGGTCTGCATGGACCTCCTTTAGGCAACATGCTCCATCTCTCTGTGGAGTGAGAGACAAATGCCCACAACAATTGTAAAGCACTTTGTGACTCTGTTCTGTAAAAGGCACTTATGTAAATAAAGTTTTCTTTATATACATTTTACGTTTGGACTCTGAAAATCTGCTCACCTCAAAACTCAATAGCATGTATTATTATTATTTAATAATAGGTAGGTACCCAAGCTTAATGTGCCCCCACTGGAGTGAAATTATTTTCTAAGTTGAAATATACAGCATCTTAATCCATCTCAAGAAAACGACTTTTCAAACTTGTATTTATTAACCAACACATAGAAATATAGAGACAACACAACAGGTCAAATATTTTTCATCTCTGAACATAGCAATCATGGCTTTGGGTGCAGAATGTCCACTTTGTTCATAGTTTGTACATAAACAGCAGCTTTGCTCAAAAAAGCCTTGATTGTTCTGTTCAATGCTTCCATGATTTAAAAAGAAAAGACGGACGCACTCGAACTATCTATGAGGACAATCATGCAGTTTTCCCTGAGAGATAGAAGCAACAGAAGCTTCTTGTGTTGACCACATCCTCTTTATAGGCTGGGTTCACAATGGAGAGAATATTGTGCTTTTTTCGGCTGAAATATTTATCTTAATTTTGTCAACATTGCAACATGAATGATTGAAGAGTGCGTAACGTTGGTTAAGTGGCTGTTAAGAGTGACATCACTTTCGGATTTCAAAATACCTCAATTCGGGCGTTCTGCTCTCCCAAAATTTCATCCACTGAGCGGCGCTGTGATCAAAAAATGACACCGTTTGTTGCCCAGTTCACTTCCGGTTGATTTCATACATTGGCGAATATGGCTCACGAAAACAACAAACGATTGACAGTGCCTGAATTGCGTGAAAGGTTGAAGCGAAAGGGTATTTGCAGTGTGGGAAAACGAAAGGAGGAATTGTTGTTGCTAGTTCAACGAGCGGATGGTGTTTATGAAGATTTAGAAGAAGATGACAGCGAGCAGAGTGAACGAAAACGGCTGTGTGTGCGAGTGACAGATGGTAACAATGAGAATGAAGTTCTCATTCATGAAGTTCTCATTCATGAAGATCGACAATTAGCGGCGGCACACTTGAAGCCCATGATAAAACCGGATTCAACAGAAAATGACGAAAAAACTCAACCATTTAGAGAAAATGCGCCGGGCAGAGAGAACCGGAAGTTGCGAAGGCAAGTGTTACCCATAATGCAACGCAAAATTCAGTCGCACCCCCGCCCATCGGATGGAATTTTGGGAGAGCAGAACGCCCGAATTGTCACCTTATGCTAACAGCTGTTTCCTTAACTCTCTGTTAAAGATGGCAAATAAGTGCAATACTCCTTACACGCAGTGACAAGCTACTTCGCAGAATTAATTTGTTGTGATTAGTCATTTTCAAGTTAAGTTCAGATCATCTGGCTAAATAAAAACTTACTTTTGATTTGAGTACATACATAATATCTTTCTTAAAAGGAGAAATATTATGCAAAATAACCTTTCAAAACTGGCCTGGAGTTGTTTTTGGTAGATCAATTTATGCTAATATCAACTAATAACAAACATGTAACCCCTTCTGTCTAAAAGTTCAATGAACTCCACCCTCTGGTGGTAGCATAGGGAGTTACAGTTGGATAGCCTTTCTTACCCTTCATACCTTGTGTGAGAACATTTGTTTTCTACTTAGATAAGTTTAAAATTCTATAACATGAATTGACAAAGTAAATAGTCTAATTATCACGTTTATAGACAGAACAAGTGCATATATTACTTCTTTAAGGAATGAAATCCTTTTACCTCTTTCTGTTAATGTATTTTTTAACTTCAATAACCATCAGTTAACAGCCTAGGCAGTTGAGAAAGTTACAACATGTGAACCCAGCCTACTGAGGAGTCCCGTAGTGTTGCGTGTTGGCTGAGTGTGGGGTCATAAGCAGTCTCTGCACAGTGCCACCTGGCCGGCCCGATAGTCCCGGCACGGGCAGAGGCGGCGGTGCTGTGGGCTAGAGCCTGCACAGCTGAACAGCAGAGGCTCCTTCTGCAGACAACACTCTCTGTGCTCCAGGAGGAAGGCAGGCAGAATGTGGTTCACCTGGGTCTCCACACCCTCGCACGCCAGCTCCAGCCTAAACACACACATATATACGCAGAAGCACACAAACACACATGCACACACACACACACACACACACACACACACACATATTATTGTGCAAAACGTACATCATAATTGCAACAGGAGGAGCCGCATTCAAGATTTGATCATTCTCATAAATGGAAAGTATTTCACATATTTTCTGGTATCCTGGACAAAGTCATCAGTCTTTGTAAAAGTAGTACATTGTGTCGTGATCTACAGACTCAAAAAGCACAAAACAAGTTCATTAATAAATGTTTGAAGTATTACATTTCCTGCGCTATAATTCTTTGAATCAAAAAGCTGTTGTTGGCAATTTTACAATTTTATGAAGTTCTCTAAGACAACTGCTGAATTAGTAACCTGGCAAGAGCCAGATTGATGATTGTGTAGAACTCTAATGCGTTCTCCACAATATCAATCTGGGACTTCTGCAGGAGAATCCTTTCGGGGAAAGGAGGGATAAGCAGCAGAATACTTCAAGCAGATTGGGCGAAGTGATGCTGTGTGCCCGCCTACCAAGGTTTGACTTAAACCAATCCCGGTAACATCTTTGCCGTCCAGAAATGCACAAAGCGCCTCTCGCTGTTCATCTTTCAAAAAAGAAATTGGAAATTCTGCTAAAACTGACTTGATAGCCTCAGCTACACGTCCGTCCTCCTGCGTAGCTATGTTTGTTTTGCTTCGGCCCGGCACTTCTTGCTTTCGTCAAACCCGGATATCCCGCCCTAAACCCCCAGACTGGCGCGTGATTGGTTTGAACACCTAGATGTTCTACTCGAAAAGGGTTGGCGGGAGCGGGGCAAGATGTATTCTCGAGTGTTCGTGAACTCACAAATACCTCGAGAATTCAGCTTGCCGGCAAGGTTACTGAATTAGGGCTATACAAATAACATGATGAGGTAAACCATGCTTCTAAGTTCACAGTTCCAGGCTTCTAAGATCAGCACCAAACAGCACCGAAGAAAGTTTTTACTCTACGATATGCAGTTAAGTAAGCACTAACTTTAGGTTCGAGTGTTGAAACTAGTGATACAGAGGTGTATCAAATTTATATCATGTAGTTTTAGTTCAGATGCAGCGGTTCGCCGGACCCCGGTCAAGTACAGGCAGACTACAATACAGCTGATTCAAAGTGTAAGAGTGTATGTTTACACTGTTAGTTTGTTATAGACTAATACGTGGATTATCAAAGGTAGTGTGTACAGAGAGCAGCACAACATGTTTGATGTGGTTAGTCAAGTTCAGTAATAAAAGGTAGATGTGGATAGCCGTTCCCCTAAGTTGATTTATATGAGGAAGATGTGGTTAGCCATGCTTCTAAGTTCATTATTACAGAGTAGCTATTCATTTTGACCATCCTTTTCTGGATGGTTAATAGCACAAATAGGCTCTCTGTCCTCTCGTTACTGAAGTTGACTGAACTCGATGACATCACTTCCTGTTGCTGATGCACAGTGTAAGATTCAGCACACTCTGCTCTTGACGACACTCACAACTCTATAACCAGGACGAGTGCTACACACACAACAATTATCCTGCAACTATATAGCAACTGGGAAAAATATGACCCTAAAAGTCAAAGTAATCCAAGGTTTTGCTTTTTTGGCAGGTCACCAAAGCCAGGTCAGATCAAGAGGTCACAAAAACATACTGTATGCCCTTGTGACCTACAACTATAGCCAGTTTTTTGGATTCAATCCCTGTATTCAGCCGAAGATGTCACAGCTGACCAGTTGCTCTGTGATTTCTCTTTTTTTTTTTTCAGAGACCCCATCTGTCTCAGCCTGCTGGAGAATAGAGTGGATAAACTTTATGAAGCGTGTAGTCTGGCACCTTGTATCTATGATCTGCATGATTTACAAGTGCAATTATCAATTAGAAGATCCGGCAGTACGAAAACAAACGTGGAGGATTACGTTTGGAGGGGGCCTTTCTCAATATTGGCCTCACCAAGTTTTCCCACATTTTTGGCCCAATTTTTTATTTTTTTGAGCCATTCCTTATTGATGCAGGATGGTCTAAGGAGAGTAATGATTCAGGACATTTAGAGAGATTAAAGGACAGTGGTCATCCCGCACCCTATGGACAAATGACTCCTATGTCTTTGTTGTTATTGCATTTGCTGTGTTCAAACTGTTTGATTATTTGATGTCCTCCAAGATGACTAGTGTTGTGATGTACTGTAGGGCTGTTTAAAAAAACTTAGAATTGAATACTTTAAAGTTCCTGCCTCCTTTGCCCCGAAATTGATATTTTTTATTGTGGATCTGGTTTGCCATTACCATACGAATTAGGGAGTTCGGGGTCTTATTTAGAAGTACTGCAGAACTCACTCTAACTGGATTTCAATCATTGTTTTAGAAACGATATTCACACTCACATTCATAAAGCTAACAGCATGCTCTGGGTCTTACTAGAATCTTGGTATTTAATCTCAGGCAGACAGAAATAAGGATAAGGTACTGTAACATTTAGGGTTAGTCTCGCCTTCTTGGGGATGAAATACCAAGATTATGGTGAGCCCCGCAAATATACAGTAAATTGTTAAAAGTTAGCGTCCTCAGAGCTTGTCGTGCCACTTCTGTAATGTGTACCTGTAGCTTACATTCAACTGTGTTCTTTTTATGTACAATGTTTATTTTATTTTCAAATGTAACTGGTACCGCAAATAAACAGGTGCACTCAAAAACCTCAGAAGCACGGTATGGTTTTGTAATAAGATTATCCACTCTCTGACATGAAAAAGGCTTGTTTGAGAAAACAGAACACATAACTTCATGCAAGGGTATCTCAAGGAGAGCAGAGTGTGTGTCATGTTGCTCTCTTTGCAAAGAACAAGGTTTTGATGGAAGATCAAGTTTATTTTAAGTAAATTGAAAAATCTAGTTTCTCCCCCTTGCATTATGTTTGTGTTTTGACAGAATGCTCTTCAAAATAATTGTCCTTTAGAGCTCTCTCTGTAATGAGGAAAGAAAGACCACTTTTGAATCTTAAATTAATGAAGTCATGAACCACGTACTTAAAATTAGCAAAAACAAGATTTCCAGAAAATAAAATAGCAACATTTGGGACGACGGCAGGTGAAAAATGTGATAATTACGGCAATACAAGAATACACACCTGGACACAAAGCTAGATTTTTTACCGTGAGAAAGGTACAGCTTTAAAGAGAGTATGATTACTTGGGTGACCTCATCAGAACAACTAAATAAGAATAGTTGTAAAAATGTCAATTTCTTTCAGTGTTTTTCTCTCACGACATGTATCCAATCCACTTTATTTATGTAGCACATTCAAAAAACAATCATGTTTCCAAAGTGCTGCACAAACAAGTATAATATATGCAAGAAACTTATCCTTAGCTCCACCAAGTATAAAACAATAAAAAGATAAAAAATATATAAAAACAGATTAAAACCATAAATGCCATAGATAAATTAAAACACAGAGGACCACACAAGTTATGTAGTGTTAAAATCCAAGGAATAAAAGTGGATCTTTTATGGACAAGACCACACTCCACTGTGGGGGCAGTCCGAACATGGATGGGGGAGAGCGTTCCAAAGCTTAGGGCCGACCACAGAGAAGGCTCGGTTCCCCCCGGGTTTTAATTCTGGCTTTAGGCACTTGAACTCCTGTGACATGCCTTAATGACTATCGTCCTGTGGCCCTCACGTCTGTCCTAATGAAGACTTTTGAGCGGCTTGTGCTGGACTTCATTAAGAGCCAGATCCCTGTGAGTGTTGACCCGCTCCAGTTTGCTTACAGACAGAACAGGAGTGTGGAGGATGCCATCTTCTTTGCTCTGAACTCTGTCTACAGTCACTTGGACAATAGTAAATCTGTTGCAAGAATGCTGTTCATTGATTATAGCTCTGCTTTTAATTGTCTTGTCCCAGGTATACTGATTGAAAAACTCATGTCTCTCGGTTTAAGTGTTGCCATGTGTAAATGGATCTATAGCTTTTTAACAGACAGATCTCAGAGAGTGAAAATCAATCAGACTGTTTTTCAGATGTTGTTTCTGTGAGCACTGGATCTCCTCAGGGATGTATTTTGAGTCCTTTACTTTTTACATTGTACACTCATGATTGTGTGTCTACCTCAGACTCTAACCTGATCCTTAAATATGCTGATGACACCACCATCATCGGTCTCATCAGTAATAACGCTGAATCTTCTTATAGAGCCGAGATCCAAAACATCATGCTTCTCTGAGGTTCATTACTAACTGTAGGGCCTTGACCCATCATTGTGAGCTGTATTCTCGAGTGGGATGGCCTTCTTTGTCCTCCAGGAGGCAGAGTCATTGGTATACTTTTATTTATAAAGCCATGCTTGGTCTACTGCCCTTTTACATCTGTAACCTAATCTCACGGAGGAGCGTTGGCTCTTATAGTTTGCGTTCAAATGATCATTTGTTGCTCACTGTTCCATTTGCCCGTTCAGAACTGGGAAAAAGGGCATTTGTTCACTCTGCTCCTTCTACATGGAACACGTTGCAAAAAGACTGGAAAATGACTGATCTTATTCCATTGAACGAATTTAAGTCCAAAGTGAGAGCACTTGAGTCAACCTCTTGTAAATGTTTTTTATAATGAGTATGTAATGTGTATGTAATTCTTAAACTGTATATTTTGCTGCCTCTTGGCCAGGACTCCCTTGAAAAAGAGGTTTTTAATCTCAATGGGACTTTCCTGGTTAAATAAAGGTTAATAAAATAAAATAAAATAAAACGTGGTTCAGTGGAGTAAGGCTAACAACCTCCAGCTGAACGCATCCAAAACATGTGAACTGGTCTTTGATTTTAGTCGTAATAGTTCTCATTTGCCTGTCGCAATCGATAACTCCCAAGTGCAGATTGTAGAGGAGTGTAAGTTTCTGGGTCTAACTCTGTCTAATGACCTGAAATGGGTTAAAAACACTGACCGGGTCGTAAAGAAAGCTCGTCAGCGTCTCTACTTCCTGCGGAAACTTAGAGAATTTACCACTAACTCTAAGATTCTGCTGAACTTTTATCGCTGCACCATTGAGAGTTTACTTGTTGGTTCTGTGTCTGTGTGGTTCGGTAACATCACAGATAAAGAAAAGAGAGCTCTAAACAAGGTGCTCCGCTCTGCAGAGAGGACCGTGGGCTGTGAACTTCCTGTCCTGGAGGCTCTTTATCAATCCAGACTTTTTGACAGTGCCCTGAGAATTATCAATGACTCTTCTGGCTACCCAGGAAAAGCCTTGTTCCAGCTTCTTCCCTCTGGCAGAAGATACTGTTCTCTGAGATGCAGGACATCTCGTTATGCTAATAGTTTTTTTCCACGAGCTGTTATCAGTTTGAATAGAGCACTTTAATGTTTTTGCACTTGTATAGATCTGTTGTAGTTGGTCAACTTCACAGTGACATTTGTTTACTGTTTTTAAAATTTGTTTTATTTTTGTCTTTTAATGTTGTTTTATGTCTGTACTTGTCCTGTGCACACTGGGAACTTTTACTAATGTATTCCAATGTAGTGTTACTGCAAATGGCGAATAAAATGAATCTGAATGAATCTGAAATAAAAGCATGCACAACCTGTTCTAACAAATTAAAATATAAAAATGTCTTTGCTTTGAATAAAAGCCGAAGATGATAAAAACATGATTTTAAAACGCTGTTAAATTTAAATTCACTGTCTATAGTGACGCTAAGGCTGGTGACTTTGGAATGCAAAGTGGTCCCAAGTCAGTGAGGGCCGGTCCAAATGTTAAAACTTCAGTTTTTCCCTCATTCATTATAAAAAAAATCTGGGCTAACCAAGCCTTGACGTCACATAGACAGTTGAGCAGGGGCAACTGTCTATGTGCCCCCAAGGGGGTCATGGCCTTTTGAGATTGGCATTTAATTTGGCAGTCATCTGCATAAAAAGGATAGAACACTCCGTGTTGGTTAAAAATCTCTCCAAGTGGGAGGAGATAAAGGGTAAAAAGGATAGGTCCCAGAATAAATCCCTGAGGGACACCACAATAAAGAGAAACAGAAGAGGAGGTGGCATCCCCCAGCCGGACTGAGAAGGACCTCTCTGAGAACAGGCAGGACCTGAACCACTCCAATGCAGTCCCCCTGACGCCCACACAGTCTCTCAAGCGGTCTAAAATAATTTAGACCCCAGCTTTAAAGATTCATAACTTTAAAGCTGAGGTACATCACTTTATTAGAAAACATCATAGCATGTTTTCTAATAAGATGATTTGTTCAAATGTTGGGACAAACATGTGTCATTTATGAATAAAAACAGATTAAGGAACTATTCAAATCAACTCCTACTTGCTTCAAGTACATTATATAAAAACAATGCCGTGTTATTTGGCTCATCACAGAACGTAATTTAGAATTTTACCAGCTGTAATGTTCCAGGCTGATTAGCTATCTGGTAAGTAATGACCTACAATAGTATATTAAGTGAAATTATGAAAAATATATACTTCATAGATCCGTTGTAGATTTGTGGTGTTTGAACTCGCGCATTTCAAAGCATGGCAACTCTTCTTGTAGCATTCCAAAACATGTAATCATTTCTACCCCACCACCCCCTTATACACAAGGACCCCTAAAATTCAAAGGTGTCTTACGAGTGGAACGTCTCTTTTCTGTTAATGTAGTGGTAGAAGGCCGGTTCGCAGACGAGGCCGGCCCGCTGGCAGGTCTTCACACAGGACTGGTTCAGAGCGGACGCCAGGACCCTGAGAGCCGAGAGTGGGGGCCAAGGGGGAGCCGAGCCAGGCAGGGCCCAGGACAGAGCGCTGGAGTTGGGCAGCAGACGAAAGGGGCTGGGCGGGTCTCCGGGCCAAGAGCTGGAGGAGTCTGCTTCCGAGGGCTTTCGAGGTGAGCAGAAGTCCTGGAAGAAATATATTAAACATGTTATTGCAACTACCACAACAACTAAACTTTTCTACTTGTAGAAACTGCAAATCTGTTGTTTTAAAGAAAAGACATATTAATGCGTCTGTATATTGTAAGTAAGTAATGTGAATCTATATAGTGCATTTTAACATTCAGAGTTTAGAAAATCTGAACTCTGAATTCTGAAAAAAGTTCAGAATTCTCTCCTCAAGGTGATGATGGAAGCGAGACGCCGAACACACTGGAGCATCAAAGCCCCAATCAACACCATCCATTCACTCATTACATTCAGACCTACACAACATGAGGAGAACACGCAAACTTCACACTTCCTGGGGGTGGAATCAACCCAAGGACCTTTTTGCTGAAACACAAGCTCCAACCGCTGCGCCACTGTGCGCCAAAAAAGCGGTATGTAACAATATGTAGCAACAGATTTGTGCAGTGTACAATTGATGTCCCCATGTACAGACCAATTCCACATGTACAGATTCTCCCAGGTGAGCTGCACCTGCTCTAGAGTAACCATGTGCCTCTTGTTTTCATCTTTGTCCTTGTATTGCAGTTGTGCCATACTCTATTCATTTCTGATTAATAGATTGAGCAGTGTTCTGTTAGATGTTGTCAAAGCTTTGAAATTTTTTTTTTTTGCCAAACCATGCTTCAACCATCAAGGATTTTATCCCTGACCTCTCTCGTTTGGTCCTTGGTTTTCAGGATGCTGTGAAGTGACCAAAACACTTCGACCCTAGCTCTAAGGCCCTCACAGAACAGCTATTTTTCTATTGAAAGTAGGTGGCCTCTATTTAATCCTTAGGGCAGTGTGAGCATTCAGCAGTCATTAGCAATGTAAAAAAAGGTAATTTAATGCACTCATACAGCATGTATAAATACTTAATTACACACTCATATAATGAGTAATAATCATGTATCACTTTGCTTTCATGTCATAGTTTTCTGTTACTTGTGCGTGAACTTTCAATAAAAAGAACCTGGACAAATAATAGACTAATCAAGATATTCGCTTTTTTTTGCAGAGTGATAGATGCTGGAACAAACAAAAAATTTAATCTGTTAATTCGGTGCCTGACAGCACAATAGCGCCTCCCTGAGGGCAAAAACTCATATTTGCTGTGTGGTAAGTGGAAAGGCTGTTTGATTATGCTTTTAGCCTGTCCCAGAGCAGATATTTTGAGATTATAGATTGCAAGGAAACATATTCCTATCTCGTTAAGATTTTCATGGCACTTTTCACAAGCTTCTCTACTTCCGATTTATACACGTTTTGGTCGTCTTTAATTGTGCGCCTTGTGGTTCCAGACCTAAGAAAGCTTTCAATGGCATCTCGTAACTTTCCCTTATCTTTCGACCGTTGTAACTGTAATGTTACTGTCCATCCTCAGCAGCTGCAGCATAAAACATTGAATTTCCCGGTTTCCTATTGAGTTTCTCTTTTACTTTGTGTAAAAAAATAATAATATAAAGACATGCACAGCAGGAGACACTGTATTAATCTGGAACAAAAGACGTGAGTAACCTATATTTGTGGTCTCAATCCAATTTGCGTTAACACGTATCAAGTTTCAACCGATTGCCTAACCAATTTTTGAAAATACTTTCAGTGGTTAAAGAAGATGTGAAAATGTTAATATTCACGTATTTCCCCATTATACTTGGACGATCCCAAACGCAAGATAATGGGCCACTTTACACAGCCACAGTTGACCATCTAAAATTTGCTTTGAGATTTCCCTCTTGTCGACATTTCCCCTTGAGCCCATTGAAGCCAAAGCATTTCATAAATCCAGCACATCCTCGTCAATCGCCGGATAATACGAAGGCGGTTATACAAGCCGATAATAAACGAGTTGGCCGGGCAAAGTAGACGTTTGGATGAGATTCCCCCCTCTGGCTGGGGCTCTTCATAAGGCCAGAGGTAATGGCATTCCAGTGAAACGTCCCGGTGGCCCCTAGACCCCGGTATTAAACCGCCTCCTCTGCCCGCAGGCAATAACTGGGCCTTCCAATCTCTCTATCACTGGCTACTTCCACCACTATAAGCTCATGCAGGCTACGGGCGGCAAACCTAAGAGCGCAGAGATAATGGGGAAGACACAAGGATTTATTTATCTCTATCTATATATCTATATATCTATTATATAGTGTATATATAATCTATTTATCTATCTATATCTATATACATATACATATACACATACAGTACAAACCAAAAGTTTTGACAAATTTTCTGATTCAATGAGTGCCCTTTCTTTTCATGACTATTGACTGTAGATTCACATCAGGCAGTGTAAGGGCTATTTGACCAAGTGAGTGTGGGTGCTGGGCCAGATGACCTTGCCTCAACAGTCATCGGACCTGAACCCAATCCAGATGGTTTTGGGGTGAGCTGAACCACAGAGTGAAGACGAAAGGTTCAACAAGTGCTAAGCATATCTGGGAACTCCTTCAAGACTGTTGTTAGACCATTTCAGGTCCTCTTGAAGTAGTAGTAGTCTTTATTTATATACCGCCTTTTCACTGCAGATCTGAGTTTCAAAGCAGTTTACAATTTTCGGGCATTTGTCTCTCACTCCACACAGAGATTGGAGCAGGGTCGCCAGTACAGGAGGCGCATGCCAGAACTATTGGACATATTTTTAGTGGTAGGGGAAACCGGAGTTCCCGGAGGAAACCTACGCAGACACGGGGAGAACATGCAAACTCCACTCAGAAAGGCCCTGGTCCGACCCAGGACCTTCTTGCTGAGAAGCGAGAGTGCTATCCACTCAGCCACCGTGAAGCTCATCAAGAGAATGCCAAGAGTGTGCGAAACAGTAATCAGAGCAAAAGGTGGCTACTTTGAAGAACCAAGAATATAAGACATATTTTCAGTAATTTCATACTTTTTTTTTGTATGTACAAAATTCCACAAGAGTTAATCTTAGTTTTGCTGCCTTCATTGTGAATCTACAATTTTCATAATCATGAAAATAGAAAAACTCTTTGAATGAGAAGGTGTGCCCAAACTTTTGGTCTGTATTAATATATGTAAGGTTAAACTTAGGACAGGGCCAAGCCTGTCCACTCTGTTTACCATTGACCAAATGGAGAGATACAGCTTCAAAGGAGCCATGGGGTCAGCCACAAGCCGCCATCAATCATGAGGATTACAGATGCCAAAAAGAGCAATAAAGTCACCACGGGGATAAGCACCTCTGTCTCTGCCTGCCTGTAGAGATCAAAGATCACAACCCTGCCCTCGCTCACAGACTCCTGCCACCGGACAATCAAAGACTCCCCCGCGGCGCTCTGACGCCCCCTTGTGAACAATGGACACTATCACACCCGGGACGGACAATTGCGAACCGGTACCCCTGGGTCCAGTACTCCAATAATCTGCATTGTGCCCCATATGTGTGTATCAATGTCAAAGTAATGAAATACGGTGTGTGTTTGTACATGTCTTATGATTATTAGCATCAATCCTGTGTGTTTCCTTTACAAACTGTCTGTTGTAAAAGGGGTCTGTCCACAGAGGGCAGGGGCGGCATGGACACGCCCCCTGGGAAGCCTATATGAGCACCCAAACGCCATTGTTCTTTCTCTTGCCTTCTCCTGAAATCACTATTCCAACCTCCCTGGCCATCGGCGTCCCGCGGCACGTGTCTCCTACTACGGTCGCGCCAGCACGCATCGGGCCTTCTACTCCGCCAAACATACTCTCCTCTGGTTGGGATTTATGAACTCTTCATCACCAGCCGGCCCTGGCTCTGGACTCTGCGCACGTGACTCATTCCGGACTGAGTGTGCACGCCTGGATCCAAAGTTGGACTGCCGTCGCTGGCTTCATAATTCCCGCCTGCCCGGACAAAGAAACCACGTGGACGACATCGCCTCCACCCCATTCTTCATTCTCATCCTCCACTCCATCCTCATCCCAGTCACCCACTTCCCTCTACGCTCCTTCAAAGTAAGACTGTTCCTTTGTTAAATGTATGATTTGAATGATATGTGTACAACTCCTGCTTTTAATGTGACCAGAAATCCCTTTTCGTTATATTTTTACCCTCATTTTTGTAATCAATAAACTACCCTTTTTAACTCAACCCCTTCAGAGTCGCGTTGTTAGATCTCGGAATATCACTGGCCGATAAAAGTACTCACTACCTATTAGATTTATAAGACTGACTCGAGGCAAAGTTGGTTTGGATCTGTGCAGTGTGTCATACACTGCTGGTGCCTAAATAAATATAAAGCAGATCCCCCACTCGAATAGGACGGCCAGACTCTGATTTGAAGACTAGCCGCACTATTCTTCTCATAACATAATCTGTAGTATTATTACCCTAATACATATAAATTATTACCCTACAGTATTGGTGCCCTGTTTGTGAGATCCGCGAATATAGACCAGATTTATCGACTCGTACTCTGTGAATTGACCGGTTAATACACGCTAACTTAGACTGCTGCTCCGCTCACAGCGCTTCCCCCCACTCCCGCACCCCCTCTGTCCCTGCTACCCCCGTTGCTATAGTGACTTCAACGGCAATCGAGCCCCCCTACGCCCCACGCTTGCGATAAAAGCGTCTCGTGCATGCACCAGACTATTAATTTAGTCTCAAAAATCCTGGCTTTGGCACAGGTACTACGCATCTCCTGCAACGTGTCGCCCGCTTGGCCAGCGGGCAGCGTGGAATGTGAAGTCGCTTCCCTCTGAAGAGAAAGCGCACAAACTTATTCTTATAACTCCACTGTACACCGTGTCCAGAACACGGGCGTACGGATCTATTGTGTCCCTTTGTGACCCAAGTCACACAGGATTTTAACCGAGTATATCTGTGTAAAAGGCTGTAAATGGCAGCTGTTTGAATGTGATGCTATCGTTTTGCTAAAGGCGGCTAACACTAACTCTGTCTCACCACTCTCTCTGCCTGCTAACCTGCTGTTGTATACACACACCAGCACCCTACAGTACATACATACAAACCCCATTCCACCACTGTGATTACGTGCTTGTGCGAACTGTATAACTCGCTCCAGACTTTCGTGTATAAACTGCTGCTACAATGTACCGTTGCCGGCAAGCTAAATGCTAGCTACGCTCCTTTGTTTTTAGCATACGGCTAAACTTCCGCCCGGGCCCCGCTAGCCTCAAAGCTAACTCTGACAACGCCGTTGCTCCTACTACTGCTCCCACTATACGCTGCTTCTCTACCGTTAAAACTAGTACCACTCTGTTTAACCGAACTGCATTCGGTCACCAAAACTCATTGTTTATTGCCTAAACTGCTGCTACAATGTACCGTTGCCGGCAAGCTAAATGCTAGCTACGCTCCCTTGTTTTAGCATACGGCTAACTTCCGGCCCTGGCGCGCTAAAAGCCAGAGCCGCATCCCCACTGCTAATACCATTCTGCTGCATTGTCTACCTGCTGTCTAACAATAACACTACTTACTATACTTCGTACTATCCTATCCCACTCTGATTCTGTGTTCTGACGATCATAAGGCGCCAGCCGTCTCGGCATACTGCTAAACGGGCCGCACCTCTTATTGTCTAAACACAAAATTGCTTTCCGGTCCCGGCACTACTTCCGGGACCACATTGCTGCTGTCTTGACTTTTACCCTGCACTACGTCTCATGATCAAGTGATTGGCTGTGGTTGTAACATTAACACTGTTTTGGCTGTTGTCCCGTGCTGTTTCTGTTCCAACTAAAATCTCTACTTTGCCAAACTTGATGTTTGATTGTACTAAACTAATACGCTAATTCCGCCCCTCCTTGCACTAAACTAAAACTAATAATTTTAATCCTGCCCCTTCTTCGGCATGTCACGCCTAGACCACACTGCTGCCCATGGTGGTAACATTAACACGGTCTAGCTGTTGTTCCATGCTGTTTTGATTGCTCAAACTAATAACCACTCTATGTTTGATTGTACTACACTGAAACGAATCATTTTAATTCCGCCCCCTTCTGCATGTCATATTGTTTTATTAGAACACATTACTGCTATACATAACAAAAGCTAACGCTCTGTTTCTGCTTCTCCTCTTAAACATAATTGTTAAGCTACATTGCTGCATTAGCCAAGGTTAATGCTGTAAACTCTGCTCTCCTTCTGCTGCATGTCGCACGTGATACGCATTCTATGCTTTATTCCTGCTCACTCACTACTGCTAGTTTACAGTAACACATCTGTGTGGTGATTTAACAAACACTGCACTCCCACACACCCCCGCCCCCTCCTTGCCACTGATAATAACACATTGCTGTGGTAACTAATCCTATTCTGTACTCCTGCTCCTGCATGATGCGCGTTATTGTTGAACCACATCGGCGTGTGATCTGACAGATACTGCACTCCCACCTAGTGGTGAAACTAACACTCTACTATGCCAAACTCTATGTTTGATTGTACTACATCAAAACTAATACTCTATTTCTAACCCTCACTGTCGCTAAAACTGCATTACCTTGCCTCAGCCTGCTGCCTTTTTGCTACTGCTTACTTGAGCTGCGTCTAAAGCTACGCCGCGGCCCAAAACGCAAGTGCGCAACCAAACGCAAGTGCGCGACCGAACGCAAGTGCGCGACCGAACGCAAGTGCGCGACCGAACGCAAGTGCGCGACCGAACGCAAGTGCGAGACAAACGCAAGTGCGAGACAAACGCAAGTGCGAGACAAACGCAAGTGCGAGACAAACGCAAGTGCGAGACAAACGCAAGTGCGAGACAAACGCAAGTGCGAGACAAACGCAAGTGCGAGACAAACGCAAGTGCGAGACAAACGCAAGTGCGAGACAAACGCAAGTGCGAGACAAAACGCAAGTGCGAGACAAAACGCAAGTGCGAGACAAACGCAAGTGCGAGACAAACCGCAAAGCAAGTGCGAGACAAACGCAAGTGCGAGACAAACGCAAGTGCGAGCAAAGACAAAAAAACGCAAGTGCGAGACAAAACGCAAGTGCGAGACAAAACGCAAGTGCGAGACAAAACGCAAGTGCGAGACAAAACGCAAGTGCGAGACCAAACGCAAGTGCGAGACCAAACGCAAGTGCGAGACCAAACGCAGGTGCATCTCACGCTGCGTCTACCTCTGCGGATTAACGCCGCGCCCTAATACTGCTGCTGCTGGCGCCACTGCTAACCCTACGTGCGCCAACGCCACTAACCCCAACGCTCTCCGCTGACACACAGGTGAAGAAGTACTAACGCCCGGCCCCTGCCCTAGGCCGCCTACTCGCATACACCGCCACACGGAGAGGACGCTGTAGTCACGGTTTTGACACACACCAAGGTCTACACCACCACACGACCAACAGCTAAACTACCCTCTCTATAGCACTGCTTTCCTCCTTTCCCTCCTCCCACCGTGTCGTACACACACGTTCCAAGTCATACTCGCATACACTCACCCACACAAATATGGAAATCGATGGCGGAAACTCGCCACGACCGAGCAGGCACGACGGTGTCTCAGAAGGACACGGCATAGTGGATAACTTTCTGCGAGACCTCACAGAGAAGTTATTCCCAGGGGGCTACGACACGCTTGAGCACAGCTCACTCTCTGACTTACAAGATGCTACCTCCAGATTAGCATCCGAAGCTACTACGACAAAACTCCAAGGTAAGACCCTAACCCAGTGGCTAGGACGACTGGCCATAATCTCCAGGATAACCTTGCGCGACTCCGAAGCCCAGAAAGCAAGGCTCCAAAACACAGTGAGTGACCTGGAACGACAACTGGCGGAAACTAGGAAATCCGCCGCGACCCGCTTACAACAAATCCCACAGGTAAGTAGGGACCACCAACAGGGACTGAGCATGACTCCAAGCGCGACCATGGATCTTGATCGCGCAGCGGAAATCAGGACCGCTATTTCGAACGGAACCAGCCGTGACAGTACCTCCGGCCCACACTCCCCTCGCTCCGACCGCGGCGAACCATCGTCCAACTGTGAACGCAGGAGCGTGGCCGAACTGGTAAGTATCATGACGGGAAAGGACCAAAATCAAGGTCATAGGAACAATACACAACCCAACATTGGACACGTCGACCACTGCGACCCCCACGACGCCCCTCCGGGAACACACATGGACATGCGACACAGACAACATGACTATCCGACCCATGACCCCGGCCCACCTGACGTCCATACGAGACATGTTTCAGACCGCAGCCATTGGGACGAAAGGGCCCGCCCTCAACATAGCGGACAAACCTACAACGACCCCCCTGGCCCACACCTGAACATGCTACATGGACCACACGACTTACGGTGCCCCAAGTCTGGGCCGTCCGCATATGCTGCGACACAATGGCCAGTGACCCGCGATGGGAACGCCGGGGACCTCCCCAAACATGGAGGACAACCCCACGGCGACCCCCCTACGCACGCCAGGACTTAACCCTAGGCCAACGGGACTACCCGGACTGGGGGGGGACGGCCCCCGACCTCGACAGGTCGGACTTAGCCTCCCTCCGACACGACAACCCCACACTAGAACGCCCCTTCGACGTCACGATCGACACGACGCTCGGAACCCCCGGCCGTGATGAAGAAATAATGCCGATACGCCATGGGCTGTTAGATTCTGCTTCCGATACACTCACTTCGTCGGTACTCGTGGTGCCTC